TTTTTTTTTGGCTGAGGTCTGTATGCCTGAACACAGACTGACACACCCACATATTCCACAAAATCCATCAAACAAGATCCGATGCAGTCACATGCTGCAACAGTTAGTATCTCTAGTCTATATGCTGTTTCCCGTTTATAAAGTCTTGTGATAAATCAGATATGCTGATATTCCACCCAGATGCATGCAAAGTGTAATGTTTGATAACGTAGCATTCAGGTAAAAGGTCTGAGCTCCTGCCCGCTGAAACCCAAAGGTTCCAATTACTTCAGCCTGTTAGGATTAGCTTCTAGCTGTCTTATTATTTCTAGAGAACACTCAAAAACATTATTTGAAAAAACACTGTTATAAATACATAAAGCTTGGAGTCTTACCTAGGACTGCATTTTGGAGAGCTTCATCTTGGTCATCCAGATGTACCAAGAGTTCTTGGTACAGATACCGAATATTATTCTGCATGTAACATTTCACGTCATTGTCCTTTAAGCATTTAAACCAATTAGCTAAGGTGTGAGCAGCTGCCAGGCGTATATCAGATGAAGTATCATCTAGCCGCTTTAAGACCTCTGAAATATTGAGAATATTGAATAATGAAAATATTTATAACCAAACAGCACGATGATCAGAAGTGAGAACTTACATTTTTTATTTCAAAATACAAATGTATTTTGCAATTACTAAACATACCATTTCATTTACAACATGCTTTTGCCTTTTGAATTTTGGAATACATGAAATATACAGGTCCTAAAAGCATGCAGTATATTATGGTTGAATTGTTCTTTAAAGTTTAGTTATGTTATCAAAGAACATCAAAATAAACACATGAAATTATTCAGATTCAGCTGAACTTTCTCTAACACCCTATCTAATAAGGTGCTATGCATGTTTATGGAATGCTTTAGAGAAAGAGAGAATTTAAGTATTACTTTATATAAAGCACAGCATTTTTTACCAAACATTACAGTTTTTGTCAAATCAATGACTTTGCATCGCAGAGTATTTGAATTTGATAAATGCAAAGGTCTGCTTTGATGACTCGCTGAGTATGTATTTCTCCAAAGCAGAAGTGCTTACTGCTAGATTTCTGCTGCCCCACGTAAGACAAATATCACTGTTTAAGATGCCAAGTTTGGGAAAGCCTTATTTGCCTATATCTCTAAGGACATAAATTCTATTACATAGCATAGACTGTACCTCTGCAGATTTATTCTTCAGCAGTTGAACATCATCTTAAAGGCATTACAGAAAATATATATGTACATAAAAAAAACTTCAACTATCTATTCAGGTCTATTTATGGCACAATTCTCTAGCTTGCTGTTGGCACTCTGAAGCACAGCAAGGAGAACAATGTGACTATCGTTTATATAATGCATTACTGTCCCGCTTTCACTATAGTTAGAACATTATTTCATACAGTCTAAACTAGGAATTGATGCAGATGAAAAACTGGCAAACCTTGCAATGACAGTAATATTGAGTGAGGTTCCACCTAGTGGTTTAATTCATAATAACATCAGGATACTTTATTCCGTTTTGCTCACGCGGAGATGTAGGCATGCAAAGAGAAGGACATCAAATTATCTGCCGTACAATACCTCCATTAACTGAAATACTGCACTTAGAAAGCTACTGTAGAGCAGTTTTGCGAGATGCAAGTACAGGTATTTTAACTTGCTTCTCTAAAACGTACGCACATACTTTATACACTACAAGCAGTCTCATTTGACAGTTTAAGAGCAATTCTCTACTCTGCAGGACTAACATATTAAATTGTCTCTCTTAAGCAAAAATGCTACTGAATGTATGATACTGGGTATCTCTTTACTTTTTTCACTTTCTTAATATCTATAAAATTGTGGGAGAGATCTACCTAAATAGACAGAAAAGCACACAAGAGAACACAGAAATAGCCTGAGAATATGCGCATTGGATTGAAATAAGAAAGGTTGAGAAGTGAAATCAGCATAAAATCTACCACTATTTGCATCTGAAACAGTTTGTAGCTTTTTGGTAGTGCTTTAAATGGGATTAAAGCTAAATGACACAGAGAGATAAAATGTTTCTGCTGTTCTCTAGTTTGTATTAGTGCTTCCATAGTGCTTCCACCCGCAGTGAACCTCCAGGTGAGGTGGGAAATCTGCACGATGAATCCTAAAGTAGACAGTGCATCTGTCTACTAATCCAGCACAGTGATTTTCAGCCTTAAGAACAAAGCTACTGTGATACGTCAGGGGAAAAGTCAAATATAATTCTTCAATCTGGAGGTACTGACACCTCCATCAAAACAAAACAAAAAACAAACCCAAAACTTCATACCATACCTGGGTAAGTTTTGATGAGCTTATCTGAATCAAATTGCCTGCCACAGACTTTATAAAAGACACCAACAATACGACAAGCCATTAGTCGAGTAATTTTAGAATCTTCATCCATGGAGGCAATCATTTGAGGCATCAGCAAACCTTCAACTTTTGAGATCTACAATTCACAAGAAAAATACAGAATAGCAGCTTTTCAGTCACTCTTAGACAATGTGTTTATTGGTGCTCATTAAATCTGACAGATACTGGCTTGCTTAATTTATAAAAAAACTTAACTAAAACTTTATTGAATAATCTTCAAGATATACAGCTTTATTTTTCCCTTTAGCTAAGCTTGAGAAATGAAAATCTCTCATTAGATGATCCATTCCATGAATACTCAGTACATGTGCAGATGAGTTTTATGTAACTACTAAAAGCTTTAAAGTTACTTGCCTGTTCATAAAAAAAAAA